TTTTTTTTTTTGAGAAGCCTTGAAAAGCTCTGCATGATTTCTTATCCTTAAGCTTGGCGAAAAATAGTAGTGAATATTTGGAAAGCATTCTAAACACGTATTATTCTGCATCGGGGTATTACGTCCGCATTTTCATGTTAAGGAAACCTCAAGCAGTTTTGGGCCACTAAAGTTCATACTTCTTTCTTAAAAGAGCCAAAAAGTCTATAACTGGGGCCAGGTGGGAACTACTATCAGTTGGACGTGGGGATGGCGAAAGAGGTTGAAGGAGGCTTTCAGTGAGTTTTCTGAAGTATATATGTTGCTGAGCTGTACAAAGTCAATTACAGATGGTGCATGTCTATAAGAACTGTTATACTAAGAGAAACTGTACGTTGCAGTGCGTAGTTTTAAATTAGAGCTGTGGGGTGATGAGGCGGACTAAGAGAAAAAGGATCCAGAAATAGATGAAGAATATTTTTTGTTCCCAATCAACAATCTTCCGAAAAGTAGAAACCTGGAGTAGCGCCAATATGCCTTCAAGTTGGCATTTAATCAAGTGTATCCTGTTTTGTCATTCAGGGTGTTGCATTGTATACGAGCCACGCAGTAGGTAAAAGAAATTCTTTCTCAAGAAAATGTCTGCATTTTTTTGGACCTTACTGTGAGTAGGGTTGAGGCGTCAGTGATTGCTTTCGGAATTGTTTTTTAAATTCGTGCATCCTTTTTAAAAATGCATCCGTTCTGAGGTTTAGCGGCCCCCAAGAATCTGTTTGGGCGTTTTCTTGTTTCTTACTAAAATTTTTCTTGTGTTACTTGAGCAAGTTGTTTTTGCTTCTTAAATCCTCCAGGTGTTATCTTAACGTAATTATACTATTAAAGAAGCTCCAGTCTTTATTTGATTTGTCTGGCATTTTCGACTGTCTACCTCAAGATAGTAGTATTGTCAACTAGTTAGAACTTTATTTAGTTCTAGTTCCATAGAAACTATCAGGAAGGAAACCAAATCTTTTCGGGCTATGCTGATCTTTATGTCACTTTGAGGCTAAGTCATAGTTTAAATCTCTTGTTCTTTACTCATCAATTTATTATTTTGAGCTTTCTGGAAAAATAATCATGTAGTAGAAAAGGCGCTATTTCAGATAAACGTGCTCACCTTTCAAACATGCTTTATTTTGGTCGTGAACCTGACTTCATTTTTATATGCTAGTTCCCTACAGCACCTAATTTATCTGCAGTAGTTTCAGATGTAGCTTTTGCTAACTTTCTAACTGACTAATGTTAAGATGTCGCTTCTACCCTTTTGCCATTTCACACCGGCGGTGTAATGGACAGAGCAGGCATTTTTTGATGGCGATACTAGGAATCTGAAAGGTTTAAACCAACCCTGCATGAAAATCTATTCATATTTGTTATTCATTTTCTGGATCTGCTCAATAATTCCTATTTAATCGAAATGTTGTATACATAGAACTCAGCAAATGATAGAAAGTGAGTTTACGTTCTGGAAAAATCTGTTTTTATCATTTTAAATCTTTCTTTGCTGCTTCTTAATTTCAAGTTTTAAAAGACGGAAAAAGTAATTTTGAAAAAAAAAACTTTCGACAGAAGTGGAGAGAGACGATTGCAGGTGTAAAAAAGATAAAACAAAAGCTTGCGCCGTAGATTCGTAACAGCTGTACTTTGTACCGTGTCTCTGTTTCAACTGTTTCATGTTTTCTAATATTTCTTTGTAGTTGTATTGCATCTTTCATAGTTTGTAGTCGCTTCTCTCCACTCTATTGAGGGTTTTTTTTTCAATATTGTTTTTCCGTATACCGACTACCTCTTTAAACCAAGAAGCGGCAAGAAAAGCTTATAAAGTATTAAAAGCAGACTTTTCTAAAAAGTAGACTCATTTGCTTTGCTGAATTTGCCGAGTCCTATGTACAGAGCTAAAACACTGCAACTTAATAAGTGTTTTTCTATAGACTTAAACATAGTCAAGAAATGTTAAGACTGTGAGTAGAGGAACTAAGCGAGAAGGATGGTTTGAATCTTCTGGAATCTTATTAATGCTTTTGCAAATATCCGCACCATTTATTACAGCAACCGTTGACATAGAAGTACGTTGTGAAATGGCAGAAGGAATAGAGCGAAATTTTAGTGTTAGACGGTTAGGAATTCAGCAAAAATTATATGGATAAGTCTGAGACTATCACAGATGAGCTAAGCTGTTTGAGTAACCTCAAATACATAAAGGGAAGTTAGGTTGATTAAAAAAAGCACAAGCCTTTTTTATTCCCAAGCTACCCTAAAGATCTCGCTAACAACACATGGATTCCTGCTGGAACAATCCCGATTATTCGGTTGTAAAGCCTGTTATGGACATGATCCCGGAGCGATTTTTGAGTATTTAGCAACTTCATTCTGGACAGGTCATTTATTTGTTAAAAAACTATAATAAGGAGCAATTAAACTATACTAGTTTGACGAAGGGTGACTTTTCAATTTCTTGATTTACTTGTTACTCTCCCAGCTACTCTGTGTTTCTTGTTAAGACCTGCTGCTGTTCCGGAGAGTTCTCTGTGAATTCAGAACATTTATTTCGGGGCCTGTTCATACTTGTCAGAGAGCTTTAAGAGCAGGCTAATTGGTCGTGTTGACTTGATGAGGAGCCATTGGCCAATTTTTTGAGTTGCGTTCCCTGTCT